ACTGCAGTGTGGGCCAACACAGTGTGGAGCCAACACAGTGCAGAGCCAACACCAGTGCAGACCCAACACAGGTGCAGACCCAACACAGTGGACACAACACAGTAAGGCCCAACTTTGATGTGGGCCCAACACAGTGCAGACAGCACAGTGTGGAGCCCAACACAGGTGTGGGCCAACACAGTGTAGACCCAACACAGTGTGGAGCCCAACACAGTGTGGGCCTTTGAGTGTAGGCCCAACACAGTATGAGCCCAGCACAGTGTGGGCCAACACCCAGTGCCAGACCCAACACAGTGTGGGCCCAACACAGTGCAAACCCAACCCACCAGTGCAGACCCAACACAGTGCAGACCCAACACAGTGCAGACCCAACACAGTGCAGACCCAACACAGTAAAGACCCAACACGGTATAGACCCAGCACAGGTGGACCCAACACAGTGCAGACCCCATACAGTGTAAAGACCCAACACAGTGCAGAGCCAACACAGTGCAGACTAGCACAGTGCAGACCCCCCATACAGTGTAGACCCAGCACAGTGCAGACCCAACACAGTGCAGACCCCCATACAGTGTCAGACCCAACACAGTGCAGACCCAACACAGTGCAGACCCAACACAGTGCAGACAACACAGTGCCAGACCCAACACAGTAGACCCAACAGGTGGGCCAACACAGTGCAGACCCAGCACAGTGCACAGACCCCCGCCACAGTGCAGACCCAACACAGTACGGGCCCAACACAGTGCAGACCCAACACAGTGCAGACCTACATTTAGACCCTACACAGTGCAGACTCAACACAATGCAGACTCAACACAGTGCAGACTCAACACAGTGCAGACCTTTGTGAGAATGTGGAGCCAACACAGTACAGACCTAACACAGTACCAGACCCAACACAGTGCAGACCCAACACAGTACTGGCAGACTCAACACAGTGCAAGACTCAACTGATGCAGACCCCATACGGTACCAGGGCCAACACAGTGCAGACCCAACACGGTACAGACCCAACACAGTGCAGACCCTACACACAGTGCAGACTCCAACACAGTGCAGACTCAACACAGTGCAGACTCAACTTTAATTAAGACCAACATGATGTGGGCCAACACAGAGTGTGGTAACAGTGTAGACCCAACACAGTGCAGACCCAACACAGTGTAGACCCAACACAGTGCAGAGCCAACACAGTGCAGACCCAACACAGTGCAGACCCAACACAGTGCAGACCCAACACAGTGCAGACCCAACAGTAAAAGACCCAGCACAGTGTAGACCCAGCACGAGTGCAGACCCAACACAATTGCAGACCCCATACAGTGTAGACCCAACACAGTGCAGAGCCAGCACAGTGCAGACCCAACACAGTGCAGACCCCATACAGTGTGGGCCCAACTTGCAGTACTAGACCCAACACAGTGCAGACCCAACCACAGTGCAGACCCAACACAGAGTGCAGACCCAACACAGTAAGACACAACACAGTGTAGACCCAACACAGTGCAGACCCAACACAGGTGCAGACCCCATACAGTGTAGACCCAACACAGTGCAAGACCCAACACAGTGCAGACCCCCCATACAGTGTAGACCCAACACAGTGCAGAGCCAACACAGTGCAGACCCAACACAGTGCAGACTCAACACAGTGTGGAGCCCAACACAGTGCAGACCCAACACAGTGCAGGCTCAGCACAGTGCAGACTCAACACCCAGTGCAGGGCCCAACACAGTGCAGACCCAGCAGTGCAGACGCAGTGTAGACCCAGCACACCCGGTGCAGAGCCAGCAGTGCAAGACCCTACACAGTGCAGACCCAACACAGTGCAGACCCAGCACAGTGCAGACTGGCACAGTGCAGAGCCAACACAGTGCAGACCCAACACAGTGCAGACCCCATGCAATGTAGACCCAACACAGTGCAGACCCAACACAGTGCAGACCCAACACCAGTGCAGACCCAACACAGTGCAGACCCAACACAGTGGAGCCAACACAATTAGACCCAACACAGTGTAGACCCAACACAGTGCAGACCCAACACAGTGTAGACCCTGTACAGTGTAGACCCAGCACAGTGTGGGCCAATACAGTATGGAGCCCAACACAGTGTGGACCAAACACAGTGTAGACCCAGTACAGTGAAGACCCAACACAGTGGGCCCAACACAGTGTGGGCCCAGCACAGTGTGGGCCCAGCACAGTGTGGGCCCAGCACAGTGTGGGCCCAACACAGTGTGGGCCAGTACGAGTGAAAGACCCAACACAGTGTGGAGCCCAACACAGTGTAGATCCAACACAGTGTAGACCCAGCACAGTGTAGACCCAACACGAGTGTAGACCCAGCACAGTGTGGGCCCCAGCACAGTGTAGACCCAACACAGTGTGGAGCCCAGCACAGTGTGGAGCCCAACACAGTGTAGACCCAACACAGTGTAGACCCAACACGGTGTGAACCCAACCTGAGTGTGGGCCAACACAATTGCAGACCCAA